GTGGGTCCCCATTCAGGGTGGGAGGAGATAGACAGGCTGCAGGGGAACCCAGAGTGAGACCAGCCCTGAACAGGGGCACTGGGGCCAGCACTTTCTGCCAGGGGGAGTGTGCCCTATGCTGAGCCCCCACCCTGCAGCACAGCGCCCCCTAGTGCCACACTGGGGCCAGCACCTAGCGCCTCGGGGACGCCACTGTAAATGCGGAGCAACCCCATTGACGCCAATGGAATCAGGCCTGGATTCTGATCCCTGGGTAAATCTGGAGCAAGCCCAATGCCCTGGTCCTGTGGGGCAGGCTGTGGTGGGAGTGGGGAAAGGGGGCACTGAGGGCAAGGGTGGAGGGGAGATGGCCCTGGGTTGCTGTAGAGCAGGTCTGAGATTGCCTTCTCTTTCTCTCTGTTCCCCCGTGTTTTGTTCTATCAGCCTTTCATCCCCTGGGACTCCAACCCCAGGGTCCCACAGACCACATGGTACCCCTGTGTGCCCCCCATCAGGGGATTCTGTCATTCCAACCCACTGCTGATATGGCTCCATCCCCCTGCACTCCCATTATCCTGCCAGAGGTCCTCCCACTGACTAAACTCCACATTTCTCTTGCTGGGGTCACCACCACTCCATGCACCCCACATTTATCTTGCCAGGGGTCACCTCATTGCCTGAACCACCCATTATTCTGCCAGGGGTCCCCCTCACTCCGTCCCAGGCTGCCCTCATTTTTCTCTCTCCTGCTCCCCCATGCGTTTACAAGCTGGAGGTGGAGGTATGCTATTCTGTACCTCAAAATAACACCTGGGAACCACTGTGATGTGATTGAGGGGTTTTGTACAATACACGCCTCGTGAGATATCATTGAAGAAGTCGTGATCTGTTGAACATTAATATCCGGTTGAATGGTGAGTGCTATCATTGTAAGTGAAGTTATCAAGTATTGCTATGTTTGTTTCTGAAACGTGGTAAGTGGGAAACGCCTTTCAGTGGCAACAAAGGCATAACAAACAAGACACATTTATATGAGGATGGGCCAGACCCCGGTTGATGGCCGATCAAGAGGGATCCAGACTCCCAGTGACAGCACCTCTTGGCCTCCCTCCTCCCGCATCTCAACATCGTTGGGAAGACAAAGACTTTGAACTGGGGAGCTTGGTCCCAGGCTGAGAGGGGAATCCAGCCTGTGTATAGAGAACTGTCAACTGCCTGGAACACCCAGTGGGGTGAGAAAAGTTCTTGAATTCAAATCTTCTAAGTTTAACAGACTAAGCAATTTAGACTGCGATTCTATTTTTATTTCTTGTGTAACCAACGTTGACCTCTGTGTCTCACACTTCTAATCACCTAAAATCTCTTTCTGAAGTTCATAAACTGATTTTAACGTTTTATCCTTACCAGTGAGTTTGCCTAGAGGACTTGGGGAATCGGCTCAGGTTACAAAGGCTGGTGCATGTCCACTTTGACAAAGTGGCAAATTAATTAATGAGCTTGCACTGTTCAAGAAAATTTCTTGAGCCATGTAAAATGGGACATTTCTGGGGTGCAAGGCTGGGGAGATTTGCTGGTGTCTCTCTCTGTATAATTAGAGCATTCATGCAATTTAGCTGGGTGTCTCCTTGCCTGTTGTTGGCAGAGGGACCTCAGCCCCTGGAGGGGTTTTGCTGCTTGTCACTGGCAAAGCATTGTAAGAGACAACCCAAGTTGGAGAGTTAAGGGGGTGCCGTGGCACCCCCGTTCGAGTTTCTATCCTGGGGATCCAGTCACAGAAGACATATCAGAGGCATGGGGAATAAATTGGGGAGGGGCCAGGAGAACTCAGAGTCACACCCCCTTGGAGGAGAGGCCCAGGAGCAGAGAACGTCATGCTCTCTTAGGGATGGGGGGCGGCTATGGAAGTAGATTCCCTACCCTGCCTGGGAGCGCAGATCTGGGCTCCAGGATGAATTTTTGCATCCGCCTCCACCACCATGACTGGCCCATGGTTCTATGAGGAAAGCAACACTACGAGACGCCTGTCTTGGCCCCGTGTCTCATCAGTGTCACCATGTCCTTATTCCCCCCCATCTCGGCTCCACCACCAGCCATGGGGCTCCCACTTCTGCCCATCCCGTACTCCCATTGTCTCTCCAGAGCCGCCCCATCTCTCAGCCTCTGCACCAGGATCCCAGCCTCCATTCCAGAGGCAAATCAGGAGCTCAGCCTCCGGCCCCCCAGCTAACACTTTCTAGGCTCTCTCAGAACTGATATGCAAGATGCATTTTGCTGATCAAGTGGTTGGGTGCTGCATCAGTCCAGGCTGCCACCTGCTGGAGGGAATCGGAGCTGGAGGATTAGAGGAGAACTGTTACCCTAATTCCTCAGCGCCCGGAGCCAGCCAATCCCCCTGCTCTAGGCCCAGATCAGAGCTGAATCCCTTTAGAAGGATATTTTCTCATATCCCCTCCTGGATCTCTTGGCAATAGCAGTGTCTTTAAAGAATCAGCTGTGGGATATGAATACCATCTAGTAACACTGCCCATCTCCCTGTATCTCTTTCCCTCCCACCCCACTCTGTGCCCAAGAGAAGCCATTTGCTTTGAAAGGCGTTAGCCACATTACACTCTATTCCCCATTGCAGCAAATTCATCCAGCTGTCTCGCTCCCCTGTCATGCCATACTCCCCTCTAGCCCAGAGCTCCCCCTAGTGTTCCCAAGCGTGTCATAGAATATCAGGGTTGGAAGGGACCTCAGGAGGTCATCCAGTCCAACCCCCTGCTCAGAGGAGGACCAATCCCCAGATAGATTTTTACCCCAGTTCCCTAGATGGCCCCCTCAAGGATTGAACTCATAACTCTGGGTTTAGCAGGCCAATGCTCAAACCACTGAGCTATCCCTCCCCCTATATTGCAGCTGCTCATTTCTACTCTACATCTGGGTCCAACCCCCTGAGGTTAGCAGAATGACAAGGCTTCCTGCTTTGAAATTTTCTTTCATAAATATTTATTGAAACAGGGCGATACACTTGCAAGAATCCAGAGAGCTGGAATCCTCCCAGAAGCAAATCATTTTGCAGTGGTGTTGCAAAGCTTCATGGCAATTTTCCAGGCTGGATAAATTTAAGTTGCAGTCAGTAGGGTTAAGAGTTAACCACGCCCCCTCCATCAGTGAGGTGCACCGTGGAGCTATTGATCTAGGCTCTCAACAGATGCAGATGGGGTGAGACAGGAAGAAGCTTCAATCCCTGAATTAGCGAGAATTTGCCCTTCCCAAATGTGACCCCAATGCAGTGCCATCTCCCTGAGCCTGCTGACAGCCTGAATCAATAGCCCCGTGGCATGTTCTCCTGTGTATTAACTCTGAAGCTTACTGATGGTGAGTGATATGTCATCATCTTTGTTGACCATCTGAGGAGAGATCATCCAGCTGGATGGTGGGTGGGGCCTGTTTATTCATGATGATATAACTAACCCCTAAGCAGCTCGGTAATTGTGGAAAGCAAAAGAAACAACATTTAGGGAACAGCCTAATGCATCCTGCACCCGGGACGCCGGCCCATGCGCTGAGAGTTTAGAACCATGTCCACCCTGGAGTATCTTAGGGTTTCTACAGAGGGTTAATCACTGAAGCCACAATAGGAGAGGGCTGAGCTGTGCACCTTATCCCTTCTTGTAGAGACAATTGGTTTTCAGGTGGATACACGAGACAGATAAATACCACTGGTGGATGGATACACGGGGTGGTGGATTGATTGCACTGCTTGCTCATATTGGTTGACTGGTTGGTTGGGTGTACTTAGGCCAGTCATTGGTTGGTTTGTTGCACTGGCTACACAGCTTGGTTGGTTGGTTGGATGTACTTTAGACCTTAGTTGGTTGGGTGGTTAGTTACACTGGATGCACAAGATCAGTAGTTCTCAACCCGTGGCCCGTGGGCCACTTGTGCACCAATCAGCACACAGCTGCAGCCCATTGTGAGGGTCGTACAGATAGTACATATGCAGTGTGGATGTGGCCAAAATAACACATGGAGAGCTGCATATGCAGCCCACATGGTAAATAGGTTGAGACTAGGTATGCACTAGATACATAAACTGGTTCGTTGGCTGGACGGATGCATTGGATACATCGGTTGGCAAGTAGGATGGACACGATAAATATATTTGTTAGTTGGCTGGTTACATTGGACACACTAAAGACATTTGTTGATTGGCTGGCTGGATATTTTGTATATAATACACATGTTCATTGGTTGGCTGGCTGGTTTTTTACATTGCATGCTCTAGATAAATTCATTGGTCGTTCGGATGCACTGGATACATTCTTTGGTTGGCTAGTTGCATACATTGGATGCACTAGATCAGTGGCTCTCAAACTTTTGTCCTGGTGATCGCTTTCACATAGCAAGCCCCTGAGTGCGACCCCCCCTTATACATTAAAAACACTTTTTAATATATCTAACACCATTATAAATGCCGGAGGCAAAGCGGGGTTTGGGGTGGAGGCTGACAACTCACGACCCCCCCCCCCCATGTAATAACCTCGCGACCCCCTGAGGGATCCTGACCCCCAGTTTAAGAACCCCTGCACTAGATAAATGCATTGGTTGCTTGGCTGGATTGATAAATTGGATACACTAAGTCCAGTTGGTGATTTCTTGATTTTATATGTTGGATAAACTAAATGCAACCATTTGTTGGTTGGTGGGCTGGGAGTTGGCTGGATGGGGGAGGGGCAGACAGGTTGGAGGCAGTAGGCACATTCGCTGGTTGGTGGATTAGATGGATACATTGGATGGCAGGAATCATTGGACACACTGGTCTGATGGATTTGAAATGGACGGTACGTGGTGGGATGTTTTCCCAGAGGGAGGATGACAGGCCCACAGGAGCAGACAGTCTCTTATGGGCATCGGAGACACCGATTCCTGAGCAGGAGTGACAGCATGAAGCCCAGTAGCGTCAGCAGAGTGAGAGCTAGAAAATGACATTGACCAATGCACACTCATAACCCTCTTGGATCCCCTATCTAAGGGGCTCACCAGAAGGCCTCCACCTCCTTCCCCTTGGCTGTGCTCTGCTGGGGTGGCTGGGAGACATAGTCGAAGCAGCTCCGACCCCCGAGGTGGGGCCCACAGCGCAGGCTGTACTGGAACCAGATGCGGCCGTGGTTCAGGTAGCAATCCTTCTGGTGGGGCCCCCCAGCCTCCAGCGGGATGTCGCAGCCTCCCAGCAGGTCATCGTTCCACTTGTCCTCGTCCCAGACCTGGACACGGATCTTGCTGGTGCCGGTGAGGTGGATGGTACCAAAGTCCAACGGGACGTACCAGACGGGACTGTTGTTGTTCCAGATGGTGTTAGTCCGGATCTCCCTTCTCTCAAAGGAGACCTTGACGAAGGCATCCGTAGCAGTAGATTGGTCCCCCCACAGGCCACTGGCCTTCTTCACTGTCACCGTCAGCTTCCCCAGGCCGCGCTCCCGCGAGCAGCACATGGTGTTGGTCGTGGTATCCCCGGGGCAGACACAGGAGCAGGGGTCGTGGGCGCTGCGTTGAGTCCCCGGAGGGCAGCTTTGGGTGCAATTCCTCCACAGGGCCCTCTCACGGATGTACTCACTGACTGCCCGCCTCAGCGCCTCCCGCTTGGGGTTGCCCTGCTCCACCAGGATGTGGATGGGGTGCAGCGAATAGGACACCAGGCCGGGGCTGGCCTTGAGACTCTCAATCCAGGCCGAGAAGACCTTGGCATCACTGCCGGAGAAGAGCACGTCAGTCGTGCTCTCTCCTCCTTCCACCTCCATGTGGCGCTCCTGATACGTCTCATGGAAGCTCCCCTGGACCTTCCCCTTCTTCTTCTCCTTCTCACACTTGCTGTACCCACCCTTGACCGAGCCCATTCCGATACTCACGGCCGCCTCCATGCTCAAGCAGTCCTTGATCTCGTCGTCAGTCAAGCTGCTCAATGCTGCTTCGCAGACCCGCACGGCCGTCACGTCCTGCGCCCGGCCCCCCAGCTGCAGCTGGGACATGTAGTGGGTGCCGTAGTTGCTGATTAGCTGCTGGTACTCCACCTTCGATTTGCTGTCGTACTGGTCCGGGAGGTTCTCCAGCGCCAGAGTGAAATGGCTGGTGAGTGGGGGTGTCTCGCTGACCCGGAACCTGGTCAGGGACACAAGGTGAGGAGTGTGTTCAGCCCGGTGAGTCAGCTGAGATCATTAGCTCTGCGTCCTAAGGCCCCAGACAAGCCAGAAGCAAAGGTCTAAGCAGGTGGCTCCTACTCAAAGCAACCACCCTGTCTGCTGAACCTCACGACTGTGCTGGGGATATTGCCAGCTGCTTGATAGTTCTGACAGACGTCCCCCGCTCTGGCCACGGCAGGTCGCCGGGCTGTCCTGACACACAGGACAAGAACATCCCCTGTAGCTGTCCAGTCCCACGTGGGAGCTGGCGCCCCATAGAGGGGAAAGGCTCCAATCCCTTTCTCTGCTGCTTCCTAGCCAGCCTCTCCCGCACCCTGGGGCTGGATTGAATCTGGCATTTCCTAGAGAGGAAAGGCTCCGTGTCCCAGTCCCCCCCCATCGATCCAGCCAGTCCCCCCATCCTGGGCCTGGATCAGAGCTGGCACCCACTAGAGGGAAAGGCCCTGTGTCACTGTGTGGTGTTGCTGTGATCCTACTGACCCAGGCTGGCTCTCACCTGTAATAGCTGCAGGAGACCGCGTGGCTCATGAAGCTGTATTTGTCCATCCGCGTGTGGTCTAGCACGAAACTGGCCAGTTTGGAATGTGATCCAGCCAGCGCTACCTGGACATTAACCTTGGGCTTCACAGGCACGTCCAGCCCCACCTTCCAGTCGTTCTGCACCGCGGACGCTGCCGACTCCATCATGCCCATCGCTGACTGCTGCACCGAGCTGCTCAGCTTCCGGCGGCACGAGATGTGGACCCGCCAGTCCACCGTGGCCAGCGGCAGCCTCTGCAACTGCCCTCCCTGCAGTGGGTTCCGACACAGGGTGCAGGTGCCGTCCTCATGTTGCCAGAGGCTGCTATCAACCAGATAGGCCCCCTTCCTACCCATCGTGGTCACATCGATGCCCTCACCAATCAGGCTGTGCCCAGGCACGAAGGCCGTGTGCTTGTTGCATTCATTGGCCGTGCCTGTGTGACAATGGGAGGAGGCCTCAGGGAAGATGAAGAGGAGGAGGGGGATGAAGGCATGAAATCTGGGCATGGCTGATGCAATGGTTTCCCCCATCCAGGAGGTGCCGTCGGCCTCTGAACCCTCCTAGAGGGAGAGAAACAGAGAGATCCGGAATTAGTGACAATGCAGTGGCAGGCAGTTCCATAGGTTATCTCTATTCTAGAAGCAGAGCCATCCACCTATCACCTACGACATCAGCCATGTTTTATTGCACACCTAAGAAAACTCTGGGCTCTAGGAAACCTGGAGGCATTACACAAATGACGTGATGCCTCATTTGCATGTTTGACTACAGATGATCCAATTTGCATCAATTCATTCCCCTCCTTGTTTTCTAGATGTTGTAATATCGGCACTAACTACGAGGAAGAGATATAGTTTCACATGCCCACTCTACAGCATGCAATAATGGGTCATTGCAGTTCCTTAAAGGGGCCACTAGAGGGCGGTGCCATGTGGACAGAGTCCGTGGCTTGTAATTAGTGAGCCAATTCAGTGGCTGGGCCTGGCCACTAGGGGGCAGTCCGAAGCCACACACACACAGTGGCTTGCGAGAGGTAGCTTTCATAGCCAGCGAGAGCAGCGGGCGCTCGGGCCATGCTCGGCGTGACTGGCCTCACCGTAGAAACTGCTGGGGCCCCCTTGTGGCCATGCCGAGTGCTGGATTTGGTTATGTTTAACCCCTGATGGGGGGTCATTTTCTGGGGTTTCTCCTGGTCAGCATGAGCCCCAGCGTCTTTACACTGTGGCTGTTGGAGAAAGACAGAAGGAAATGCTACTGCCCCGGAACAGATCCTGGGCCCATCTAGCCCACAAGGGATCCTGTGTCAAAAGTAGATTTGAATAATGTTCCACTTGGGTTGGAGCTGTACAGCAATGCTGGCTGTGGGACAGGAAAGGGTGAGAGCTCTGCATCCTGTCGGGGTAGCAGGCTCAGACTGGGAGGGGACAGTAAATGTTTGAACTCGCCCCAGCAGAACCGGGCAGGAAAAACGCATTTGAATATTTGAATATTGACTGCTTGGTTCTGCCCGGCCTGCAGCCCTCTGCAAGCCCTTCCCTGGGGTTCCCTCCCCTCTCCGCTCAGTCCCGACCTGCTGCCCCACTGCTTTGATGCCAATAGAAAATCAAACAGCCTGAAATGGCAAGATGCCCCTGGTATGAAAGATATCAACTATGTCAATGAATTATCAAAAGCTGAGTGGCAACGTGGTCCAGAGCAGCGGTTTTCAAACTTTTTTTCTGGCAACCCAGTTGAAGTAAATTGTTGATGCCCATGACCCAACGGGGCTGGGAATGAGGGGTTTGGGGTGTGGGAGGGGCTCATGGCTACGGCAGAGGGTTGGGGTGCGAGGATAAGGGCTGTGGGGTGGGGCCGGGAATGAGGGGATCAGGGTGTGGTAGGGGGATCTGGGCTGGGGGTGCAGGCTTTGGGGTGGGGACAGGGATGAGGGGTTTGGGGTGAAGGAAGGGACTTTGGGTTTGGGGGGCTCATGGCTGGGGCAGGGGATTGGGGCACGGAGTTGGGCATGGGCTGATCTTGGGCGGATCCCGGTCAGCGACGCAGGGGGGTGCTAAGGCAGGCTTCCTGCTTGTCCTGGCACCGCAGACCGCGCTCCACCCTAGGAGTGGCCAACAGCAGGTCTGGCTCCTAAGCAGAGGCGCGCAAGTGGCTCTGTGTGGCTCTCGCCCACAGGCACCAACCCCGCCCTAGCTCCCATTGGCTGGGAAGTGTCCAATGGGAGTGCGGAGATGGTGGTCAGCGTGGTGGCAGCGCACGGAGCCCTGTGGCTCCCCTGCCTAGGAGCCGGACCTGCTGCTGGCTGCTTCCGCAGCACAGCGCGGTGTCAGAACAGGTAGGGACTAGCCTGCCTTAGCCAGGCAGCAACACCAATGGGACTTTTAGCAGCCCGGTCGTCGGTCCTGACCACAGCTGCTGTGACCCAGTGCCTTCCATTCTGCAGCCCAGTACTGGGTCGTGACCCACAGTTTTATAACCACTGCTCTAGTGGATAGAGCACTGAATGAGAGTAAGGACTCCTGGGTTCTCTCGTCACACTAGGAGGGGAGTGGGATCAAGTGGGTTAGAGCAGGAGGGACTGGGGACCATGATATTTGTTGAGGTCTGTGCAGCACACGGTGTGATGGGGTCCCTGATCTCGGTCAGGGACTGTGCAGCACCCAGTTCGATGGGGTCCCTCATCTCGGCAGAGGTCTGAGCAGACCCATACATCACTCACCTGCTGCAGGAGATGAGCTGAGGAATATTTTGGTCCTGGGGTCTGTCGGCGTCCCGGGCTGGGCTGTGTCTCTGCTGGGAGAGATGTGCTTTGAAGGTGTATCAAGGCACCACAAAAGGTCTCCTGTGTTCTCACTGTCTCAGCCGTCATCATGCTCCCCCCAGCGCTGAGCTCCAGCCCCCATTCACGCCCCCAGCCACATCTAGCTGGGTAGGAAGCTGTGGTCAGCAATTGTTCCACCCCTGTGGTGGATCAAATGCAGCTCCCATGGGTCTCGACCCAGGGTATGACGAGCTAGAGAGTCTGAAAAGGAAACCACAGTGAGTCAAACTCTGCACCGAGTTATTGGGGCCATTGCCTACCCGGGGAGAGTACCCCCCCCGAACCCTCGGCTCTGCAGCACAGCACCCCCTAGAGCCACACTGGGGCACTGGGGTCAGCACTGCCTTTCGGTGAGAGTGTCCCCCATTGAGCCCCTGCCCTACAGCAGAGAACCCTATAGTGCCACACTGGGGCATTGGGGCCAGCACTGCCTGCCCGGGGAGAGAGCCCCCTGCCGAGCCCTGCTCTCTGCAGCACAGCGCCCCCTAGCGCCGCACTGGGACACTGGGGCCAGCCCTGCCTGCCCGGGGAGAGCGCCCCCTGCCGAGCCCACTACCCTGCAGCACAGCGCCCCCTAGTGCCGCACTGGGGCCAGCACCTAGTGTCTCAAGGACCCCACTGTAAATCCAGAACAACCCCACCAACCCCAGGGGAATCAGGCCAGGATTCTGATCCTGGGGTAAATCCAGAGGAAGCCCAATGCCCTGGCCCTGTAGAGCAGGCTGTGGCGGGGGAGGGGAAATTGGCCACTGGGTGGTGGTGGGGGGAACGAAGACCCTACGCTGCTGTAGAGCAGGTTTGATGTTTCCTTCTCTCTCTCTGTTCTCCCCTGTTTTGTTCTATCCACGATTTCGTGCCCTGGGACTCCAACCCCAGCCCCCATGCTCCCCCCATCAGGGGATTCTGCTCACTCCTTCACCCCACTGCTGGTAGGACCCCTATCACCCTGCATCCCCAATATCTTTCCAGGAGTCACCTCCACTCCCTGCCACAGGTCCCCCTCACTTCAGCTCCGGCTGCCCCCTCCTTTTGTGTCTCCTACTCCCTCATGGAGAGACAAGCTGGGGGTGGGGGTGTGACACTGTACCTCAAAATAACACCCTGATTCAACACTCTGATATGACAATGAAATGTTTTGTACAATACATGCCTTGTGCGGTATCATTTAAGAAGTCTTGATCTGTTGAACATTAATATCCTGTTGAATAGTGAGTGCTATCATTGTAGGTGAAGTTATCAAGTATTGAAATATGTTTGCTTCTGAAATATGTGGTAAGTGGGAAATGCCCACAGCCAGTCTTTCAGTGACAACAAAGGTGCAACAAACAAGACACATTTATATGAGGATGGGCCAGACCCCTGCTGTTGGCCAATCAAGAAGAATCCAGAATCCCAGTGACAGCACCACTTGGCCTTTCTCCTCCCCCATCTCAACATCGTTGGGAAGATAAAGACTTTGAACTGGGGAGCTTGGTCCCAGGCTGAGAGGGGAATCCAGCCTGTGTATAGAGAACTGTCAACTGCCTGGAACACCCAGTGGGGTGAGAAAAGTTCTTGAATTCAAATCTTCTAAGTTTAACAGACTAAGCAATTTAGACTGTGATTCTATTTTTATTTCTTGTGTAACCAACTTTGACCTCTGTGTCTCACACTTCTAATCACCTAAAATCTCTTTCTGTAGTTCATAAACTGCCTTTAACGTTTTATCCTTACCAGTGAGTTTGCCTAGAGGGCTTGGGGAATTGGATCAGGTTACAAAGGCTGGTGCATGTCCACTTTCCTTTGACAAAGTGGTGGACTAATTAATGAACTTGCACTGTTCAAGAGAAAGCCTTGAGCCATGTAAAATGGTACATTTCTGGGGTACCAGGCTGGGAGATTTGCTGGGGTCTCTCTGTATAATTAGAGCATTAATGCAATTTAGCTGGGTGTCTCCCTGCCTGTTCTTGGCAGAGGGACCTCAATGCCTGGAGGGGTTGGCTGCTTATCACTAGCAAAGCATTGTAAGAGACAGCCCAGGTTGGAGAGTTAAGGGGGCACAGCAGTGCCCCAGTTTGAGTTTCTATGCTGGGGATCCAGCCACAGGGGGAATATCAGAGGCATGGGGAATAAATTGGGGAGGGGTTGTGCGGGGACACCAATCGAGGCAGGGAAGGGGGGAACACTCACCGGTGCGGGTGGGGATGCCGGCGCCTATGGCAGCAGTGGGAAGGGGAGGGACTACAGTATCATTGTGGATGTGTGTGTGCAGTAAACAGAGGGGGGTAACGTAAAAGTGGGAAGGGGCACAAGCGCTTAGGGAGGGGACATGGGCTCATGAAGCAAGGGAGCTGAGTGGGGGCCAATGGACGGTAAGGGGGAAATGGAACAGGACCGGAAACAGGCAGGGGGTGGGGGTGGGTAAAGCCCAGGGAAATGCTGAAGGGCAGGGGCTTGCGTAGGGCAAGCAAACTAACAAAAAACTCCTAAGGGGCCAAATCGGAAGCGGGGGAGAATTCAGAGTCACACCATCTTGGAGGAGGGGCCCACGAGCAGAGAACACCATGCCCTCTTGGGGAGGGGGGGGACAGCTCTGGAAGCAGAGTCTCACCCTGCCTGGGAGTACAGAGCCACACCCCCAGGATTGGAGTGGGAGGGAGGGGACCCCATGGATGAGACAGCCAACCAACCAATGAACGTGTTTATTATATACAAAAATATCAACAAATGTATTCAGTGTGTCTAGTGTAACCAGCCAACTAACAAATATATTTAGCACGTCCAGCCTACCTGCCAACCGATGTATCCGTCCAGCCAACTAACCAGTGTATGTATCTAGTGCATACTTATTCTCAACCATTCTACCATGTGGGCTGCATATGCAGCCCTCTATGTGTTATAATATAAGGAGATATACCTATCTCATAGAACTGGAAGGGACCCCGAAAGGTCATCGAGTCCAGCCCTCTGCCTTCACTGGCAGGACCAAGTACTGGCGCACTTGGGGATTGAACTCATAACCCTGAATTTAGCAGGCCAATGCTCAAACCACTGAGCTATCCCTCCCACCTGTGTTATTTTGGCCACCTCCACACTATATATCTATATTATCTGTATGACCCTCAGGGTGTGACATGGGCTGCAGCTGGGGAGGGAAGCAAAATGGGTAGCAAGGGGCAGGCGGGGCAGGCAGTATTAGGAAAGGGGGCAAAATTCTGCAGGGAAGCTGGGGGGCAATGGAAGGTAAGGGGAACAACCTGGAGACAGGCGGAGCAGGAAAAGCACAGGGACAAACTTTGACTTCCTGGGTCCACGGACGAGGTGTGAATATATGAAGAGGTGCGGGGGGGGGAAGTGCAGCCAGAACCTCAGCAGGACATTCTGGAGGAGCCGGAACAGGGGCTGCAACCTGGCTCATTCTAGATAAGCGTGTGTCAGGTTCTCCCTCACGCCACAAAGGGGCAGGCGTTGGGGATGGGGGTGAACCGCGCCAGGTACACGCCCGTGCTCAAGGCTCTATGAAGGAGCCGCCAACCGATATCCCCGACGGGCCATTGGACCAGGGTGGAGTAGAGGCTGGCCCACCGGGGTTCCTCACACTCCACAGGTGGTAGTTAGTCCCACCACTTGGTATTAGGGGGAGGGGACACCAGGGTGAGGAGGTGAAATGTGTGAGCACAAGCATGTAAAGTTGTTCCCTTGGCACAGTTCGGAAACGGACCGGCTTCAGGGCATGCAGCTGGCTCGGACTATGGAGGGTAGGGGGCCAAGGGGTGGACTTGCGGGATAGGAGCCTGATTAAAAGGTCCGGAGGGCCTGGGGTGACGTGTGGGCGGGAAGCACCATCTCTCAGGACCCGCTCAAAGAAAACCCAAGAGGTGGGCAATAAGGGTGCTTCCACCTCCTGGAATTCACACTTGGGAGTGGAGAGTGGACAAGGGTGGAGAGCCCCATGAGCCCACCGAGCACTCAGGGATCCACCCAGTCCCTCCCATCGTAGTCCAGGAGGTCTCCGATTCTGGTGGTTTCTGCCAGGACCATCCTCTGGTGCACCAAGGGCAAGTCCGAAACCTGCCCACTGGGAATTGTGTATCAGGGGCTCTGTGAGTAGGTCTGCCCTCTCGGTGGCCACCATGGACCTGGTCACCGAGAACAGCTTGCAAGTCGGGAGGAGGTCCTGCTAGAAGACCGGCAGTTCGGAGAGGTCTGGAGGAAGGCCCCTCAGCTGGAGAAAAAAGAGCTGCCGGTCGTGTCGGAGCCCTCGGAGGCAGAGGAGGAAGGCATGTGCCAATGTGCTCCACGCCAGACTATGTGCACAATAAAGGAGTCTCTGCAGGGCCTGGAAGCGGAAGACAATGACCTGGCTGCGGAGGCAGACCAGGCCCTGTCCTCTGTCCTCCAGGGCGAGACTCAGAACCCCCGCAGAGACCCAATGCAGTCCTGGCTAGAAGAACTCCAGAACTAACCTCTGCAACCAGGCCAGGATCCCCAGGCCCGGGCTCAGTGTGTTGAGCTGGTCCCAAAGCATGGACAGGACCAGTTGGTTGAGCACCAGTGCCCTCTCCCGCAGGGAAAGGCACCGGAACAGTCACGTCCACCTCCGCAGCCACTCTCGCACCCTGGCCTCCAAATCTTGCCAGTTCCCCAGTGGAGAAGCATGCATGGCACAAAGGTAAACGCCGAGATAGGGCAGTGGACTCGCAGTCCACCGAATGGCTTGAAGCATGGGTGGGAGGGAGCTCGTCTGCCACCCGTCCCCGACCATCAGGACAGAGCTCTTGACCCAGTTTACCCAGGCGAAGGAGGCCACGGAGTAGATCACCTGGGAGGCCTCCACCCACACAAGGTCGCATGGGTCCTGGACCAGCCGCAACTCCGGCTCATGAAACACCAACCGTGTAATCCTCTGGCAGAGGAGACAGAGGAAGGGCTCGATCGCCAGAGTATACAGCAGGCCTGACAGCAGACACCCCTGATGTACCCCTGGCTCTAAACTGACCGGTTCAATCAGGGTCCAGATGAGTCTGACCAAACACTCCGCAGAAGCATACAGCACCTGGAGAAACTCCACAAGCTGGGGCCCG